ACATGGGCCCTAAAGTACCTAGATAGGGACTACATGAAGGCCAATGTATGTACCCTTTGGGCACATGGACCCTTAAGGAATAGATGCCTTTAATCAGTTTGGGGATGCCATTCTACTTTCAGACCCTAAACCCTCAACCCTAAGCCCTGAACCCTAAACCCTATGGGTGGACTACAGCCGGGTGGAGTTCTGCCTGGGGGTGCTTTGATTGGCCCACGACCCAGATTTCGTGCCCCTGATGTTGGTCCCTATCCGACTGATCGCTCGGGGCGACCTGTGGGAAGGCCAATGTTGGGACAGCCCGTGTCTCCCAGAACCCCCGTGATGCAGCCGTCCACGCCGCTGCCGCCACCAACAGTTGGGGAGCCAGCCCATGAGTCCTAGTCTACAAGAGCTGGCGTTTATCCCGGTTGCGCCTGGACCTCACACTGGGCTCACCACTCCTTTTGGGGAGGACAACCGGCCGTTGCCTCTGGAGATTCCGGCGGCCCCGGGGTGGGACATCCTTGAGACCCCCGACTTCCTTCTGTCCTCAGGCTTTATGGATGTGGAGGATGTCATTGCGGAAATCATTGATGCCCCGACCTCCTCGACGACTTCCACGACTACCTCTACAACAACGCCCACGTTGGTTTCCATGGCTCCTGCGTCTCCCGTGGCTGCAGCCGCAGCAGGGGTTGGACCGATCTTGGAACATGCTGCGGAACATCCTTCCGTGGGGGATGTACATGGAATGGATATGGTTGGAGCCCAACCGCTACCTCGGCCTCGTGATGAAGCACTCGCCCAGCGTATTGCTTTCCTTCTGCTTCAAGATCTCATGGCGGTTCTGGATGCGATGGCGCAAGCCCCGGCGCGACCTGGAACTGCCGCTGGGGATACCACTGCAACTACTGCAACTGCCTCTGGACATGGAGCTGGGATGCAAAACCGTGGTGAAGACATGGAGACCAACTCGGTTGTGGACACCTTGCTGGAGCAGACTGGAGTACAGGGAAAGAGTGAGGGGGACGAAGACCAGGAGGACGTGCAGATGGTTATGGTGGATGGGGCGACTACGCATGGGTTGGACAATGACGATGTGGAGGATGCTCAGGAGTGGGCCGTGGACTACGCCTCCTCTTCTTCTTCTGACGATGCACTCCCGTCTTCGATGTGATGTACACTGCGGTTCTCAATGTCGTTTTTGCTGCGGTTCTCAATGTCGTTTTTGCTGTGATGGGGTCTTTGACGGCGGTGTCGGTGCGGGATTTGGTGACGAGACTGAGTACGAGTTTGAGTACGTCGGGGAGAAAGATGATGGTGCTTTGTTTCACTCTACGAGCCCAAGGTGGCGAGTGCGGTCGTAAAAGTCCGTCTATCGTAGGTCAAAAAAAGAAACCCTAAACCCTCAACCCTGAACCCTTAACCCGAACCCTAAACCCTGAACCCTAAACCCTAAAAGGTATATCGGATTCTATCTACGTTGACCTTGGTCCGAAGGCAGCTTCAGGGTTCACAAGTTTAGAGATTCGGGTGGGGGGTATGGCTTCAAAGTTTATGGTTCTGAGCTTTTGGGGTTTTTATGGGGTTTTAGAGTTTAGGGTCCAGGGAAATAGGGGTCCAAGTTCAGGAGTTGCGGAGTTGGCTTCTAAGTCTCCGGTATAGGGCTTTGGGATTTTAGGGTTTAGGGTTGAAAGCCTGTTGCAAAAAGGGCTTTGGAGTTTTAGTGCTTAGGGCTTTCGGATCTTAGGGTTTAGGGTTTAGGGGTTTGGGATTTTAGAGTTTCATTTTGAACTCAGTGACCGTATTCCGTTGCGCGTCGCTTCTCAGAGGCTCTGGATGTGTTGTGTTCGGAGGATGCCTTAAACCTGGAACCCTAAACTTCAATAAACCCCACAGCCCACAACCCCGGCCTAAATACTGCAGATGGAGACGGGCCCTTAAACACTAAGCTAAGTACTAAACCCCTAAACCCTCAATCTGGACCCTAAACCTAAACCCTGAACCCCAAACCCTAAACCCTAAACCCTAAACCCTAAACCCTAAACCCTAAACCCCTAAACCCTAAACTCTGGAACCCCAACCCCTAGATCCTGAAGATAAGCTGAAAACTGCTCCTCAGCCCGTGACCCCGGGCCCTCCAAGCAGGCGATTTGGCTCATGGGAAGTTCTCTAAAGCAGGATCCCTTTCTCTAGGGCCCCTAAAAATGGTACAGCACCCTTGTAAGCCTTTTATGAAAAGGACCTTAAAAGGGACCGAGTATGAAGAACTACCCTCGTGCTTACTATAGGGGCTTTGGTTAGTAGAACAAGGATTGGGGGTCTTATAGTATACATACTTACAATAAGGACCCAAGGAATCGTGTCACTAATCTATGCCCATGTACAACCGTGACGCTGGATTCCTTCAAGTTGGCATAAGCTTTAGTACACAAGCCTTGCAGGCCGTACAGTGTGTACCGCTAGAGCAAGATAGACCCTGAACCCTCAACCCTGCACCTCAAACCCTAAGACCCTCAACCCGAAACCCAAACCCTAAGTGCTTGACCGAAACCCTTATTCTGAGCCTTAAACGTTCTCAGTCAAGGATTGCACCTGCTCGAACGTGTATATGCACCATTCCTCCCATCAAGTGTGATTTAACATGACGGTTGTGGTTTCGAGTTTAGCGTTTAGTTGTGTTGCTAGTAGTACATCTGCACCTTTGAGGGCACAAGTCTCCGAACCAGTCCTGAAAAAGTTGGATAAGTAATGCTGCCTTCTCTCAAACACAGAAATGGTATCAAGTTAGCACTACATCTCCTGAGATCTATTCGCAGGTCGCCAAGGTTTCGGCGGCATCATATTGTGAATTGCAACCTTCCATGTCCTGAAGTGGCCTTGGCTTGTTTTGCCAAGTGTGGTGTGTGTCATACAGCATTACAGAAATCCTAAACCCTAAACCCTTGCTCAATCCATGAAAGCCTCAAAATCGTCAGCTTGTGGATTTTCAGGGTTCCTGTAAGGATGCCTATATGGGTAGTCTAAAATAGGGTCCCTTTGGGGGTCCTTTTTATAAGGGTGCCGTACTATATATGGGACCTAAAAAGGGACCCTAAACTTAGAGAACTACCCATATGTGACTTGCCTTAAGGTTCCTTATCGACTCCTTTAAAGGGGTTCCTTTATTAGGGATTCCTTTAGTTTAGGGTTTAGGGTTTAGGATTCCTTTAAGCTTGCGGAACCCCTGTAGCTGAAGCGTTTCTGGTCTAAGACCCCAAAGCCTGAACTCTAAACCTTAAACCCTAAACCCTGAACCCTAAACCCTAAACCCTAAACCCTAAACCCTAAGCCCTAAACCCTAAACCCTAAGGAGTGAGGAGCAGGGAGGCCGCTTGGGTGATGTTTGCATCGCCTTCCTTCGACCGGCTGACTCAGCACAAGAGCCGGCTTCTCGTCCGACTCAGGGCTTAAAGGTTCGGGGTGTAGGGTTTAGGGTTTAGGGCTTAGGGCTTGTAGGGTTTAGGGTTTGGGTTTTAGGGTTTAGGGTCTATAGGGATAAGGTTTAGGGATTCAGCCCGAAACCGCAAAATGAAACCCTGATACCCTATGCTCTGACGGTTTCCAGCTACTAGCAGCATTGATTGCATGATCCGAATAGGATCGATGTTGGCTTCAATGAACTTTCCACGTAGAAGTAGCCTTACACCCTAAACCCTAAACCCTAAACCCTAAACCCTACTTACACCCCTAACCCAAGCTTCAGACCGGGAACCTCCCTGTACCCCTGAAGTCGGGAGGGGGGGCATTATATGGGGTTTAGGGTTTAGGGTTTAGGGTTTAGGGTTTAGGGTGGCCCCAGAATGCAACTACCTTCGGTTCGACTGAGGGTAGACGGAGGTTTAGGTACACGTGGCTTGAGTGCTCGCACCACCATTCGGGATTTGTCTTCGCCCATGTCCGCGTCAGATTCTGCAGGTCCAGAGTTCATGTATTCATCCGCAGTCTTGCGTAAAGGGCGACGAGATTGGAGACGACCGTTACAGAATCCTGGGACAACAGCGGGCCAATTGTGCCCGAATGGTCGGCCATTCTGTTGGCCAACTATGGACCAAGTCTGGCAAATTGAGGGCCTTTACGGGCCATTCCGAGACAAGTCCTTCCTGCAGTGCAAATCTTGTCGAACTGTGTGGCAGCAGTGCGCCCTACTCTGTCCGCAGCGACTTCTGTACCCTTGCGTGCGCGAAACCCTCAAGACAACACAGGATCCAGGTTGTTTAAGCAGCCTTCTGGACACGCCGGCTAACCTAGAACTGGTGTGGCCTGAAAGCAGAGAAGACTTTGCTGCAGTGATATCGTTCACTATCTGCTGGCCGTTCGAGGCCATCGCTTGCAAGCATGACTACTCATGCACGTCGCAAAGCTTTACGAGTGAAATCCAGAGCCCGCACAGCTAGCCGGGCAGAGCTAGATTCGCGCCTGTCCGGCACTGACTCTTCGATTTCCTTCAGATAGATCACATCGCCAGGCCATTCAAGTTGTCTTTCGCAGCAAAAAGACGTAGCAGCCTTGCCTAGGTAGAAGTTAAAGAGAGAAGCTGAGGGTTGGCCCTGGTGGTGTTCCGGCGCAGGACTTCCGATTTCTCTTCGAAGCGTTGCCACGCTCCAGCCTGCCAGCATCATAAGCATTTTGGGAAGGAGCCAAAAGACAAGGCTCCTAAACCCTAAACCCTAAACCCTTAAACCCTAAACCCTAAACCCCTAAACCCTAACACCTAAACCCTAAACCAAAGGACAAGGCAGTCCCCGGGGCTCGGCTCTTCCTGTGAGTACAGGTCGATGTCGATATTCCTTGCATCGATGCCTGGAGACCCGCGGGGTTCCTCTGGTTTAGGGTTTAGGGTTTAGGGTTTAGGGCAAATGTCGGGACATGAGCAGAGGACGCGTAATATAGGGGCCTTAATGATTGGAATACGGTTTGGGGCATATGATACTACAGTTATGTTAAGGAACCCCCGAAACCTTACCAATACTATTTTGGGGGTTCCCCCTTCTAGTTATAGTCTACTATACCACCCAAAACCCTACCCTAATCATTAAGGCCCCTGGAAAATATTACCGAGGCCGGGTCTGTCTTCAAGTCGTTCACATCGTTAAGTTGTGCATCCTGAGTCCAAGAGGCCAGCAGCTCCACGTGAACATGACGCTCTACTAAGCACCAGACAGTAATGGTGTGTCGTCCACGGCCTGCAGGGACACTGCACCTCAACGCCGGCTCCGGCTCCTCGCCCTCTGTGAGTCCTCTTGACATGACGTTATCCGACGCAGCACTGCTCCAAAAACTACCGCAATTGGAATCCTCCTCGGGCCGCAGCTTGGCGGTGACATTCCCATCCTGCTTGTCGACTGGGTCAAAACTGAGCAGAATTGAACTGACATCAAACTTGCAGAAAGAGTCCCAGCAAGGAACAGCCAGAAACACTCCCAGCCCGACCCGCGAACGGACGTGTCACCCCAACATGGGCATCCACCACAATCGACGATGGTGCACCGGGACATCCCTAAGAATCCATGTGCCTGAATAGTGGCTACTTGGGCTTTAAGCTGCTTTCTACATAATTAATGGCCTTTGGGCTCAAATGTACATCATGATCATGATGGTACATGCACCCCTAGGGAATCCCGCGGAGGCTGTATTTAATCCTGACACCTGCAGATCCTGCAGCTTGGGGTCGAGCGCAAGATGGTGCTCGACATTTTGGCTTGTGCAACTGGCTTGTGGTTTGGTTTGCACAGGGGGCGCAAAAAATGGAATGCAAAGACAAAGTTGGCCGCTGCAGTAGAAGCTGCCAATCCTGACGAGATGCTCAGGGCATGTGATGAGGTTGAAGCCTCTGGTGCAGATGCAACTCGATTGCCTGCAGTTCGTCACATGGCCCGTGTGCTGGGGGCTACTCTATGTGAGCCTGATGAAATAGAGAAAGCCTGTGGTGATGCTGAAGCTGCAGGTGTGGACGGACAGCATGTGAAGGCTTTCCGGCAAAAGGCTTGCATGATTCACAGAGCTTTGCGAAGATTGGCGGCTGCAGTAGATGCTGGCAATCCTGACGAGATGTTCAAGGCATGTGATGAGGTTGAAGCCTCTGGTGCAAATGCTACTGGTGTGCCTGCAGTTCGTCACATGGCCAGTGTGCTGGGAAGGTTTGCCACTCTATGTGAGCCCGATGAAAATGAAATAGAGAAAGCCTGTGGTGATGCTGAAGCTGCAGGTGTGCACGAACAGCATGTGCAGGCTTTTCGGCAAAAGGCTTGCATGATTCACAGAGCTTTGCGAAGATTGGCGGCTGCTGAACACTCAGGCGACGCAGTCGAAATGCACGAGGCGTGTGACGAGGCCGAGTCGTCCGGTGCAGCTGCAGGTCGTGTGCATGCAGTTCGACTGAAGGCAAACATTAACATAATTCGTGCTGCTGACGAAGTGAATTCTCAACAATTGGTGGCAATATGCTTCGGCCTGAAAGGTTTACATGCGAAATTCGGAGCTGAAGATAGTTTGCACTTGCTAACTCCGCTTGCAGCTACGCTTGCAACGCTGCAGAGCAAGTTGATAGTTGATAGCAAATGTGTGAGTTGCGGCGAAGCTGTGCTTGAAAGCCAGGCGCCAGTATGCTCACAAGGCACACATTCCTTGTGTCCATCATGCTTTGAGAAGTATGCTCGTGCGGAGCAAGACCAGCCAGAGGCTGTGATTCGTCAACGGGGTGCTTTTCTTTTGTGCCCCTGCAGAGCGCCTGCCGATGCTTGTTGCAACGGTTCTTTCAGCGAGCAGACAATGGCCAAGTACTTGCCTTCAGAGCTCTTTGACACACATATGGCCCTGCAGCGACAGCAAATCCGTGCAGAAGAGCATGCGAAGGCAAACCAGATGCTCAGCAAGCTGGCAGCAGAATGGGAGCGGCAGGTGCCAGGCCTGTCGGAGGAGCTGCTTGCAAATCAGATGAAAGCAGCTTTGCCCGGTGCACATCAGTGCGGGCATTGCGGCTTTGGACCGGTGCTGCATGACCACTGCGACAATTTGAGCACCCACCACCATGAAAGCCGTGGCAGGACTCGAATCAGCAATGCTTGTCCAAGTTGTGGTCATTTCAGTGGCAATATTTCGGGCTGGCCACGGTGGGATGGCCGAATTTGCCACCTTGCCCAAGCGCGCAGCACAAAGGACAGTAGAATCTGGAAAGAGCAGATGCGGCGTGACTATGAACTGGCAGTGCGAATATCCCAAACAGCCTAGACCTAGATGCCTTCAGGAAGCCTGTGACCGGTGGCGCAATCTGTGTTGCACTCCTCACAGATGGTGCCGCATTCCAAGCGCAGTGTGGCTTAGCTGAGGGGCATGCGCGAAACCAAGACTGGCACCAGCCATGTTCCGTGAAGGTTGTACAGACACTGCTTTGTTTCAGGAACGGCTTGGACATACGGTGCCGAATCTACACTTTTGTGCAGGAACAGAAAGGACAGCTTTATAGTTTGACTTGCGCGAGGGAGAGACTCGACCGGGCCCTCTGTATGCCCGATATATATATATATATATATATATTTATTTATTTATTTATTTATTTATATTATATTATGTTATATTATATTATATTATATTGTATTATATCATATTATATTATATTATATTATACTATATTATATTATATTATATTATATTATATTATATTATGTTATTTTTTCTTATATTACATTTTCACAAATCATTTTATGTCCTAGCAGGTACAACCTGGAGCTGCAGGAGCATTTGCAGAACGTCGACCCCCAAATGGAGGCCTCGCTAAAAGCATGGAGGTTTGGGGTTTAGGGTTTAGGGTTTAGACGGCTGACGGTCCGGGGTGTCCTTTATCGTGCTTTCATAGAAACACGTTGCTGGATACAGATGCCATGGATCCTAAATCCTAAACCCCAATAGAGGCATAACCCCAAGCCCGAAACGGCACAGTAGTTTCTTTGGGGTTTTGGGCTTTCGTGGCCGGGGGCCTAAAGGGGCCGAGGTAATTCGTAGAACGTAGAAGGTTTCTCTCCACGAACATCCAAACTATGAGAGCCCGAGAGCCGGGGGGGTTCTGTTAGAGAGCTTGGGAGTTGGATTGCGTGAGATAGAAGCCTAGATAATTACCTATACTCTCTGGGGGTTCCTTGTTATGTTTATAGTCTACTGGGCTCCAAAACCCTATTCTAATCATTGAGGCCTGAGATTAGGGTTGAAGGTGTAGGGTTTGGGGTCGAATGGATATTGCATGCTTGATGGTTGATGGTTGATCAAGAGTGTCACAGGGTGTCAAGGAACATAGTTCACGGGGCTGTCGAGTTAAGCTTATGCTTCGCACGCCATGTTATGCTACCCTGGAGTGAGGTCTAACAATGGTACCTTGCAAATCAGGCAGGCATCACTAAGACTTGCTAGCCGATATTTCCAGTGTCCTGCTCATGGTTCGAGGTTTGTTGGAAGCAGCAGTGTTACCACTCTGACATTTATTCTGTTCCTTAGCAGCTTGTTGGTTGTTGCCAGCGTCTCCACATTCCCCCCCTGACAATCTCACATGGGGCGGTAACGAGCAGGCAGCAGCTTTTCACTGGCGCCCCATACAAATTTGTATAGCATTGACTACGCATCAGCCGGCTTAAATAATTAGAAGAGGACTTTGTGTTTCCGACGCTGAGACTGCAGCATTGGGGTAAAGCCGTTTTTTCGAGGCTCTAAGCAGGGCTTTGGATCTAGGCCGGATTTCGGGTTTAGGGTTTAGGGTTTAGGGTTTAGGGTTTAGGGTTTAAGGGGGTTTAGTTCGTGGATGGGGCGCTACCTAGTAGGATCTTGGCAAGCTGGGGGCCAAACCGTCAAATCTTGATCCCAGGCGCCTCAAGACTGCGGCTGCAGAGCAAAAAAAGCCCCCAAACCCTAAATCTCCAAACCAAAAAAAACCGTTAAAGAAGCAGAAAGGACTGTTGTGGCGTGTATAAGCTTGTTCCGATGCATCACGTGTCTCGCGACATGGTGCAGAAGAAGTAAATCATGCTTATCTTCCCACGCCACAACAGTCCCCTCTCGAAAGAAACCAATGATCGCAAGCCCTGAAGGTTTATGTTCTGACGAAGGCTGGAGAGACTGCCCTGAAGGCCTTCGGTTCTGGGTTGGCAGAGTTTGAGAAATCTTGCGATTATGACTGTTACGTTCTTGTTGTCATTATATGTTAGCATAGTCATTGTTAACACGATTATTACTATTATTGTTTTGTTATCATGGTCGTTAGTAGTCCTGCTGTTATAGTTCCATTATTGTAATCACTACTGGTAGTTTCATGTTCACGGCTACGACGAGTAGCGTAATAATAGTTCTTATTGTTACAATAACTGCTGCTGTTACTAGCCGCTACCATTATTAAGTTAGCAACTACCATTGCCGTTTTCTAACCATGCACCACCCCCTAGCCCCAAAACCATAACAACCTATACCTCAGCCCCCAACTCATCAACATCCAAAACACCAATACATTAGTAAGCCAGTCGAAGCATTTTTTTGAGTTGTTTTGGTTAGACTATATATATATATACATTCATTAATGTATATGATGGAGTGTTTTCCTTAAAAAGAAAAGAAGATGCTAAGAAAAAATGGTTGGAGGAACGAAGGAAGACAAGAAAAGACAATGCTAGCTTAAGTGCGATTTTGGATGAACTAGAGGGTTTTCAACACTATGAAGATTGTAAGACATGATTTAAACTATTGTTTGAGTTTTATCAGTTAGAAGACTTGTTAAAATAAGTTAACAATTCATTCGTGTTGTCTTTTGACCCGAGGAACGAGCCTCGCGTGCTAAACCCGACACTGCCCCCATGCCAGCGCCTCGTGTGTTTCCATAAGCGCATCAACAGAATGTGGTAATGGTCTAATTGCTTTGTTCGTGCTTTTGGAAGAAGGAGAAGAAGATCCCCCGACAAATGTTATAATGTTTTTATTAGAGGATGTTAAACTTTTCTAACCATGCCTAACGACTAGACTTTTTTATATAATACGATGGAAAAGAAAGTGCGCAAATCGTGCTGTTCGACTGAAGACGTTGAAGAGTTTGACGGTTTTAAGGCTTCTATCAGGTGCCGTGAAGTAAAAAGAAAATGCTACAAGAAAAACCAAACAGAATAAAGTCAAGCACGTAGAGAGGAAAGGGCAAAAGGGAGCCAATTATGCTGCGAATAATGCGGACACACAAAAACACGAAAACTGGGCTGCCCATTTCCATTATGCGGTACATCCGAACTCGGAACTAAATATATTGATAAAAGGTTATTTAACAAAGTTAGGTAACTTAAGGAAAGATGGCAAAACTAAACGATCCATTACAAGCAGAAGTTAAGGCAGAATACGAGAAGCAGAAAAGGGAAATACGCAAACGATTAAACGAACAATTCCCTAACAAATTTGTTGGTGAAGAACACGAGCCACAACCTGAACCCGAACAACCTAAACCCGATAATAACAAGGTGTTTGATCATGTCCATCAGTTATTGATGAATGATGAGTTTTTAGAACATTAATTTATGCAGGTTGGTAAGCATAAGGATAGGATAGTTATTGAAGTTCCAGTTGATAAGGCATAAGTATAATGTAATGTAGTTATAATCCTTACGTTGTTATGGATTATAATTACATTATGGTTTTACCTTATCCCTAAACCTGATTACTAATATAGATATTTTGTTCGAGAATACCCTTTCCATTTTCTAAGATTAGGGGTTTCGGGTTGGAAATATGGTATTTTCTATGGAGGTATTGGTGTATGGGGTTTAGGGTGGGTTTTTTCTATGTGGTGGTGTATGGGTTTTCTGGTGGTTCCAACATGTGGGTCTTGGTGTGGGTCTTTCGGTGGGATTGGGGTTGAGGTATAGGTTGTTATGGTTTTGGGTCTTCAGGTGGGTCTTTCATACGGGTCTTTCGGTGGGCTTACGGTTGAGGCATAGGTTGTTATGGTTTGGGTGCTAGGGGGTGGTGCATGGTTAGAAAATGGAGATGGTAGTTGCTAACTTATCATTGCTAGTATTGTCGTCATCATCATTATCATCATTGTTATTTTTGTTATTCGCATTCTTATTACATTACTGCTTGTTTTTCATCATCATCATCATCATCATCAATATCATTAGTAT